GCTCCTTCTTGGGAGGTTTTTAATCAGAGGCCAGATGGCCATCTGTCAGGGGTGCTTTGAATCAGATTTTCCTGCTTCTTTGTAGAGTGGGGTTGGACTTGATGGCCCACAAGGACTATTCCATCTCAATGATTCTATGATTCTACCAGAAGCAAGCAGAAGGGCCAGCTAACACCTCCTAACAAAGGATTCCCCCAAGCAAGAAACAGCCAGGTTTTGAAGCTGCAAGGCTTTCCAACGCTAACCAAGGTGATTAATTGCAACATTCACACTTGCCTCCAACAGACAAGAGTTCTTTCTCCCACCTTGGACCTTCCCCAGACATATAAACCTCCCTTGCTTAGTTTCCAACAGACCTCATAACTTCTGAGGATGCCTGCCATAGATGTGGGCGAAACGTCAGGAGAGAATGCTTCTGGAACGTGGCCACAGCCCGGAAAACTCACAGAAACCCAGTGATTCCGGCCAGGAAAGCCTTCAACAACACAAAGAATGGATGACTTTGCATGGAGGCTTTTCATCTTACTGCAAACTCCTCACTCAAAACACAGAGAGGGGATGCAATTTGGAGAGCTTTGTATGTGCTGTCGTGTGCTGCTCTAATAAGAGGAGGCAGCCACTGTTTGAGCAAGGAGGGACCGCGGGTCGTGTACACGAGGGGAAATTCCATGTGAGTGTGTGTGTGGGGAAGGGGGGGAGAGAGGGAAGGAGGAGCAAGGGACCAGCAGAAAGGAGAAAGGGCTGGCATGACTCCCCCTTGCTTGGCGCCTGCGCTCTAGTCCCTAGAAGTTTGCCTTTGCTTCTCATTCCCTCCCTCATCTCCCCTCTCAGAGAAAACAAGGAGGGGGGGGGGGCAAAGTTGGGAGGAGAATGGGGAAGGGAAAGGAAAGGGGGTGTGACACCTGGGAGGAGATCAGGCCCTCCTCCCTCCTCTCACACCCCCCTCCCGGCATTGAAGTTTTCCCAGCAAGACCACATCTCTGCGCCTTGGAGAAAAGGGAGAAAGCTGTAAGCCCCTCTCAAGCTGCTTGAAGTCAAGGGATTTTGCATTGTTTTTGCATTGAATTGTGTGGAGAGGAAGAAGAAGGCAGGGCTGAGTGGAGCCGACAAGCCTCAGCAGCTCAGAAGAGCTGGAAGTTATGGGACTTCAGCCTTCACCTGCCTGAAAAGTTGTCTTCCCAGGAAATTTTGAAACTTTTTCATCGCCAGAGATGAGGGAGAGGTGAGTTCAAAAAGAGATGTCCAAGTTGTCAGGATTCTGTGCTTTTCTTCACATTAGAAAGCTTCTCTTCGGATACAAGGATATTTGGGTATGCATAGGCAAACTTGGACCCTCCAGGTGTTTTGGACTTCAACTCCCACCATTCCTAACAGCCTCAGGCCGTTTCCTTTTTAAGCGGCTGAGGGGGAAAAGGAAGGGGCCTGAGGCTGTTAGGAATGGTGGGAGTTGAAGTCCAAAACACCTGGAGGGCCCAAGTTTGCCCATGTCTGAACTAGAAGAAGCCCCTTTTCTTGTAGGCATATTGATCAGAAAGTTTGTCCTATTTGGCCATGAATGAACTTCCTATAAGTTGATGCTCTTCTTTGGAAGTATATTTTGATGCATCGTTTCCTACCCCCTTCCTACCCCACAACTTCACTTTCCCAGACTATTTGTATACCATCAGGGAGACGAACTTGTTTTATGAGGTATGGATTTAACAAAGGTCAACTGGAGACTTCAAGCTCTCCAGTTTTAGAATGCATACTAACCTGCCTGATGTTGGAAGTTTTGGAAACGTGTCTCTTTCTTGCTCTTTTCTTGCCCATCTGAACCTGGGGGTCGGAACCCCTGGGGGGTTTCAGAGGGGGCACCAAAGACCATCTGAAAACCCATATTTTTCTCAACCTGGGGGTCGGGACTCCTTTGGGGGGGTTCAGAGGGGGCACCAAAGACCATCTGAAAACACATATTTTTGATGGTCTTAGGAACCCCTTTGACAGAGAAGGCTGAAAATCTTTCTGCCTGCCCTTCTCTTCTCTTCCACAAATCTTCCCACCAAAAGCCCTCCTCCTGCTCTCTGGATGTAAGCGAACTAATCCTTCTCTTCTTTTTTGGAAACAGCAAACTTTCCCACCAAACGCCCTCCTGCTCTCTGGATGTAAGCAAACTAACACTCCAAAACTCAAGGTCAATGCTCACCAAACCCCTCCAGTATTTTCTGTTAGTCACGGGAGTTCTGTGTGCCAAGATTGGTTCAATTCCATCATTTGTGGAGTTCAGAATGCTCTTTGATTGTAGGTGAACTATGAATCCCAGCAACTACAACTCCCAAAATGTCAGCATCTATTTTCACCAAGCTCCACCAGTGTTCACATTTGGGCATATTGAGTATTCGTGCCAAGTTTCAGTGTCGATGTAGAGATTGTCTGGTTTGCCTACTCTGGAACCCGCAGCATATAATTGTTCTTCTTTAGGGGTCCCTTTCAAATCTTTGAAACTATATCTGTCATATACATGTGTGCGTATGTGTGTGTGTGAATCATATATATCTTTATTTATGGCTGGATGGCCCTTTGTCAGGAGGGCTTTGATTGTAGGTGAACTATAAATCCCAGCAACTACAACTCCCAAATGTCAAAATATATTTTCCCCAAGCTCCACCAGTGTTCACATTTGGGCATATTGAGTATTCATGCCAAGTTTGGTCCAGATCCATCATTGTTTGAGTCCACATACCTCTAATCATAGAATCATAGAATCAAAGAGTTGGAAGAGACCTCATGGGCCATCCAGTCCAACCCCCTGCCAAGAAGCAGGAATATTGCATTCAAATCACCCCTGACAGATGGCCATCCAGCCTCTGTTTAAAAGCTTCCAAAGAAGGATCCTCCACCACACTCTGGGGCAGAGAGTTCCACTGCTGAACAGCTCTCACAGTCAGGAAGTTCTTCCTCATGTTCAGATGGAATCTCCTCTCTCGATGTAGGTGAACTACAACTCCCAAAGTCAAGGTCAATGCTCACCAAACCCTTCCAGTATTTTCTGTTGGTTATGGGAGTTCTGTGTGCCAAGTTTGGTTCAATTCAACCATTGGTGGAATTTAGAATGCTCTTTGATTGTAGGTGAACTATAAATACCAGCAACTACAACTCTCAAATGACAAAATAAATCCCCCCAAACCCCAACAGTATTCAAATCGGGGCGACACAGGTATTTGTGCCAAATTTGGTCCAGTAAATGAAAATACATCTTGCATATCAGATATTTACATGATGACTCATAACCATAGCAAAATTACAGTTATGAAGTAGCAATGAAAATAATTTTATGGTTGGGAGTCACCACAAAATGAGGAACTGTATTAAGGGATCATGGCATTTGGAAGGTTTAGAAACACTCTTCTGAGATATCTTTTGATGCATCTTTTCTTCCCCCTCCTTCAAACCCCACAACTTCACTTTCCCAGACTATTTCTTTAACAGCCATCAGGGAGACGAACTTGTTCTAGTCAATGGGAGAGATTGGACAACAAGCTCTCCAGTTTTAGAATGTACATTAACCTGCCTGATGTCGGGAGTTTTGGAAACATGTCTCTTTCTTGCTCTTTTCTTGTCCATCTGAACTTTTCATTCCCTGTGTAAGTGTGCGAAACACAAACCCAAGACAGCTGCTCTAGCAATTCCTCCAAGCAGCTGCTCTCCAGGTGTGTTGAATTACATCTCCCATCATCCCCACCTGCTATGCACTTAAGGAAGCTGAGGCAGTAGCATCTCTTTGTGAGAGTTTCCGTAAGTGTTGCACCCTCTTTCCTCCTTGGTTTTTTCTAGTTCCTTTATATTCTCCAAGGACCACTTCGTCTACTTAAATTCCTTTATTACTGCTTTGGCAAAGTAGACACTTCAAAGCATTTTCTCAAGGATTAGGAAAGCGCCACCTTTCATCTCTTTGAGTTTTTAGCGGAATTTCAGAAGGTGCCTAGGGAATCCCCTATGTGGAAATCGCTTCTCTCCCCATGTGTGAAATTGTTCACATGTCTTTTTTTAATGCATTTGCAATATGTTAGCTTGTCAGACATCAGTAAATGTCTGTTTGGCTTCGTGGAATGTCAAACTCAAGTCTTGCAACATTTCCCATATGGTGTACACATCTGCTTGCAGACTATATCGCTGTACTGGGAAAACTGTGTCATTTGTGAAGCAATGGCTGTCTTATTTTCTAACACACACCCCCCCCCATTTCATTTAGACTAGGCATTTCAAAATCCTCTGAATTCAGAAAGGGAGGATCCCAAGACCATTCAAAGAAGCCACTCAGATGTTTTGATGACATGTTTAACACACTGTCATCATTTAGGACCTGAGATGTAAGCAGAAATGTTCCTGAGTCTGAACTCATTGTAGCCAAAATCACACTGGGAAGTCCTGAGGCAAGCTCGACTTTTTAAATCGCTAAACCAGTGGTTCCAAATCTTTTCTTGACCAGGGACCACTTTGACCAGGGACCCCTCTCCAACATTATTAGTACTAAAAAAGGGTTACGAATCAGTTTTTGGTCAACTTTAGATTCGGTTTGGTTATTTGGGGTGCTGATTCAGAAAATTGCACTGGATAGACCACATCGGCTATAGTATCTTATACAAAACACATGCCATCCAGTAGTTGCCATCTGCTCACCCACAGAAAATCATATTTAATAATCTAGAGCTGATGTTGTAGAGTTAGTCAGTCTCTCCCCTCCCGACATCCCCATTGCCTCGGCACTACAAGAGGGTTTTACAAGACTAGTTACTCTTTGAGCAAAAGTGTAGTAATGGTGAAGAAGCGGATCATGTTTTCATTCTTGTGGACCACTGGTGGTCCACGGACCACAGGTTGGGAACCACTGTTAAACAGACCTATTTTACATGACTGTTGTAGAACAAGGGTTTGCTGTAGCAAGCAGGATTTAAAGAGTAGGAATGAAACAGAGAAGAGAGAGACATAGTTTTTGCCAATTTTCCATCTCTAGTTCAATGCCAACTTAAATATTCAGCAGCAATCTCTGGTTCTGGGCTTGTTGTTGTTTGCCTTCAAGTCTTATGTTGACCATATTATGGGCTGATGGAGAGTGACTCATCTTAAGTCACCCGGTGGGTTTCCATGGCGAAAAGGGGAAACAAACCTTGGTTTCCATAGCTGTAGGCCAACACTCAAATACCTACACCATTAACACTAACTTTGACACTTTTCAGTATGCAAATACTAAGTATTGTTAGAAGAGTCACTGAATTTGGTTGCACTGCCACTTTCACCACAGGTAACAACAGGAGCAGGTTGTGGACCCTGTTGAGCATGTGGTTTGCATGCAGAAAGTGTTGGGTTCAATCTTAGTATTTCCTGAGAAGACTAGGAAGAACTTCTGATAGGAGGAGGAGGAAAAACTGTCTGATATCCTAGACAGATGCCAATCAGAATAGAAAACATTCACCCCAATGGACAAATAGACTCAGTTTAAGGCACTTTATAATGTGGAGTCTATAGGTAGCATAGATGATTATATAGCAGTTGCTCTAGTAGAAGTTTGGTTACATATGCCAAGAATGAGACACATGATGAGGTATTGTGGCCAGTTGTGTCACTCTGAGATGACTCTACTACTTGAATGTCTGGGGCAAGTGTCTTTGTTTCACAGTTAGTGTTTTCCCAACAGTATTTGTAAGTTGTTATTAAGGACCCTTCTGGTCTTTTTGGTCTATGTTGATGCTCTACCCACATTTTCACATAGAGGTTGTACTTCAATATTTTAACAGATAAAAAGTAGTGCCTGTTGGTTTTCATACCAATTGATGGTGAATGCCCTCTGAATTTTAGTTCAACTTTAAAGGAGCTATCCAAGGTGATGATCTTATTTGAGAAGGTATAGGGTTCAGCACCTTGGATAATTTCCTTAAATGGCTGACATAGTGGGTATCACCTCCTGCTTGAGTACATTGATGAAGAGCTCCTCCTCTGAGTTAGTCTTGCACCTAGGTTCAGAAACACACAAACTTATGAGGAATGTTATGATGTTAACCCTGACCGCTAGGACCATATATCTTGCTTGATGCTTTTTCATTCATGGGAGAACGGTGGAAAAAAGGGCTCTTCCACTTGTCACTTTTTGGCATCTACTAATGCCAATACTAGCCAAGTTCCAAGAGTGCCAAGAAGAGTCCTCCATTGGGAAACATAGAAACCATGTCTTTGGTAAACTGGAGTATG